CACGAAAACCAACATGGACCCAAAACAACACACGATGCCACCAACAATCTCCCTCACCAGACTCAAACCCAAACCCATCCCATAGACGAAAGGCGACCACCATCCAAAAACCAGATCACGGCTGCATCACCAGCTGCCACACACCCCGATCCCCAAACTAAGCAAACTGACACATGCCATGAACACACAGCCAGACCTCAAACTTGGAGCCAAACCAAAACCCAGAATGTCACATCACAGCCATCCGCTCAGGATATCACATCACAGAACTCAGGAGGTTATACCACAAAACCTCAGGATGTTGCAACACAGCCAGTGACCCAGATTACAGTACAAGACCCAGGATGTCACAACAATAGAACTCAGAAGGTCATCACACAGCCCATGACCCTGGTCATTATGACCCAGGATATTACAGCACAAGACCCAGGATGTCAAAACAATAGAACTCAGAAGGTCATCACACAGCCCATGACCCAGGTCGTTACAACACAGGAGGCGGATAGACACCCAGCCATTACCTCAGCCACACATGTTCTTACGAAAAAGCCAGCCAATCTGCAAACATCAACTCCATCAACCAATCAAGAAATGACAACACAGCCAACCTCCCCACCAGTATATATAGGGAGATGGCAGCTCCGATCACACTTTGCTCGCATAAGCAAGAAGCCGAAAGCACCAGCCTGAAGATGGTGAGTGGGACCTCGTCAAAACGTTGCCAAGATAATCTCAATCTTACACGGGAAAAGACCCGAACACACTAAGACCTGTGTGTGTGTGTGTGTGTGTATGTGTGTATGTACTGTATATGTATAAACTTAACTTTTCAGTATGTCAACATAAATACTTAAGAACATAGTTATCAAGCTATCTAACAAAGATCCAAACCAATTCAATAGTTGAAGTTTGAAATATAGATAAGATACACATCTGAATCATGGTTTCATATTTGATTGTTTTTCTTTTCTGTGCTTGATTTTTCATTAAGTTCATTACAGTTCACTAGCTATCCTTTAAAATGGTTCTAAATTAGAAACAGAACTTAAACATTTATTAATATTTAAGTTATTATTTCTGCAAGAGATTTCTAAAAATGTATATGCATTATTATATAATCCCCAATTATTGATGAACTATAGTGACCATCAGCCTTGGCCATCCTAGCTTATGGGGATGACAGTTAAGGGTTATAATTTAGTAATATTTTGAGGAACAACAGTTTAAATAAATTTAAATAGCTTTAGTAGCAATTATATGATTGTAAGGTTCTTTTCTCCAAGAGAGATAAGAACAGAACCATTTCCAAGGCAGGTTAAAGGAGCCAAATGCCAAAAACAACTTGCATAATATAAATTCCTTTTCTACATGTGTCTTCACATTGTATGCATGGAGGAAAGAGTGACACTGACACTGGTCATGACTGCTTTCAATATTTTTTATTGAAGTACTGAATCTTGTGGGTGCCTCTACTATGTGTGCTTCCAGTGGTGGGATTCAAAATTTTTAACAACCGAGTCTGTGTGCGTGGCTTAGTTGGTGTGCATGGCTTGGTGGTCATGTTATTGGCTGGGTGTGGCCAACTAAATATCACTCACATTGAGGCACGCATCTCCTCGCCTGGCCTCTCATGACTGTAGGGATGCTGCAACAGTTTTAAGTGTGAAAAATGGTCATAAGTCACTTTTTTCAGTGCCATTGTAACTTTGAATGGTCACTCCACACAAGCAAAGTATCAGCAAAGGAGAGGAAAAAAAACTCCAGAGAGGTTCCTGAGACAGGAAGTCTAGTCCTGCCAAGAATGTAATAAGGGTTAAGGGAGAGGCAGTTTCTGTAAGCAACGCCAGAATGTTTCCTTCCTGCCTTCCTTACAGGATGAGGCCAGTAATTTCTTCTAACAACCAGTTCTCTGAACTGCTTAGAATGTTAACAACCGGTTCTAGAGAATAGGTGTGAACTGGTAGAATCCCACCCCTGTGTGTGCTTGTATGTTTGTGTATGTATATGTGTATGTATATTAGACATGCATGCATTCATTAGAAATAGTATAGTTGAGATTATTTTCTTTTGTATTCAGAATATAAACTGCATTCTTATTATGCTAGTTCTCTTCTTTTATGATTGCTTGTTATAAAGCTGTTCAATCCTGCAACATTAGCCCTTGATGGAACATTTTTTCTCATGTTTTGATTTATTATCTTAAGATTGTTCATAAAATGGTCTGAAATGGTCTCTTTCTCTTCTTATGTCAAGTGTGCGTGTATGTGTGTTTGTATTTCTAATTGATAGGATATTGAAGTAGTGTCTAGCTTCTGCTTATTAGGATATCCATCAATAGTAAAGGAACCAACAGTCCAGATATGCACTGTGGACTAGCATTTGATAGAACAACCATGAAGGCCTTGGAAAAGATATTCAAATGCCATGATACCTACAAAGATCAGAAAGATTCAGGAGCCAGTGTTCCCAGTGACACTCTATGGAAGTGAAATTTGGACTTTGAAGAAGAGGAATAAGACTTTTGAAATTTAATGCTGGAGAGGGCTCTTGAGAACACTATGTTTAAGCCAAGTAAACAAACAAATGGATCATCAAACAAATCAATCCAGAATTCCAGCACAAATGACCAAGCTCAAATTATTCAATTTGAATATGTTATGTGAAGTCCTAGCTCTCTGAAGAAGGCTCTAATGACGAGGGATGGAAGGAAAGAGAAGAATAGAACAACAAGCAAAAAGTGGATAGATTCAATTACAATGGCAATGAGCACACCATTGGAAGACAAAGACCAAGCTAGGGATGGATCATAATGGAGAAAATCTCTTTCATATGGAATAAGTCTTAGTTAAGTCTTTATTAAAATTCAGTTACCTTGGAAAAATCTAGAAAAGTTTTCTCTAAAAATATACTTTTTAGAATTTTCTAGCAAAAATAACAAAATAATTCAGGGGTTATTTTAAAAATGAATAAACTTCATTCTTTGCCATTAAAATTTTATATTTTATATAAAAATTAATATTAAATATTCGATATTTTATATTAAAATTAAATGCTTTAAAAAGTCACTGGTAAGTTTTAAATACTCTCTTTGTATGCTTGCATTTATAAATTATGCTTTCTGTTACATTAACATTTGTAACACTTAAACTTGTGATTTTGTTTTATTCAAGACCCCATAGCTGAAATATGAAGAAATGCTTCATTTCTTCTTCCTTCTGTCTTTATGCCATGGTGCAGGATATGATAATAGCATCACAGAATGATCACCCAGATGGTCTCACACATAAACATGCCACCTAAACTATAAATGCAGTTCATCTAGAAAGAACAGTTCTTGTGTTAGAATTAGAGCACGATTTGTGATCACATTAGCATAATTAGCATATAATCATAACAGCATTATTTATGATAATCAGCAACCCAATGATTACATATTATATCTACTGAATTCCATGCATTATTTACATGATAATTTCTGCTCTCTTGAGATCTAAAGTTGCCCTTTTGCATATAGGTTAAATATCAGCTGCCTTAATACAAAGAAGAAAAATTACAATATTGGTTAATTATTTCTGTCTGGGCTCTAGTATTATCTCATTTTGTTTTCTAATTATTTCTTATGATTCCTCTTTTTCTATGATTCCTCTTTTTCTTTTTCGCTCTCACATTCATAACATTCCCAGTAAACAACTTGTCTTGAGTAAGTAAATTCTTTCTCTTCCCACTCAACCCTCCATCAGAAGTTCATGATATCTATCTACTTCCATTGAGTAATAGAACACAGTTTATGTTTTTAGTATTAGATGGAACATCAAGTCATTAATCTGGGAGCGTGTGGGGGTGTATGTATCTATGGTTTTAATGGATGTATATTGGTACATTGCTCCAAGCAAGAGTAAGTTAGATTGCTAGACTCTAGGTTTATTTAATTCTGAGCTATCTAGTTGAGCAGGATTTCAATTCTTAGAATTCCCTTTACTGAGTAATACTGATTAATTTGAAAGACAGCTTCAATGAAACCAGTGCAAACTGAATTTTTGAGCAGATACGTACAAGGTATCTGTTTCTCACAGATGATTCTTGTATAATAGCTTTGCAGATCTGATGGTATGCAAATCCATGTGTAGAGTGGACTTGGCAGGAGTTGTTATAAAGGAGATGCATTTACCTGTGGGTGTCATAGAGCAGTGATCCCCAACCTTTTTGACGCTGCGGCCCGGTACCGGCATCAGCTGGGCGCCGCGGCCCGGTACCGGCATCAACTGGGCGCCGCCATCTTTTTTTGATGAAAAAGTGCTTCCGGTGAGCTTTCTACCCGGAAAAGCTCACCGGAAGCACTTTTTTACCAAAAAAAGATGGCGGCGCCCAGCAACCAGCGGCCCGGTAAGACTTGTTCCGCGGACCGGCGGTTGGGGACCCCTGTCATAGAGTACAACATAATTAACATAAAAGTAGGATAAAAGCTAATTTGGTATGGAATTTTAATAAGAGTAAAGTTCCCTTCAGTAGTTAAGTACACAGATTCCCCTTTCATGTTAATCTTTTCTCACCTACAAACCATTTCATTTAATTTTATATTTTAAATAAAAATTAATGACAGCTAAGAAAGGGACTGGTTGATTCACAAAAATCTTGAAAAGTTGCAATCTCTCTTAGCCTATAGATTGGATATCTAAGCTGCAAGAACATAAAAACAATATTGTTCTATTAATTCCTTTGTAGTCTTTTGAGCAAAATGGCCTTTGAACCAACTGCTTCTAAATCACTGTTTTTCAATCTTGGCAACTTCAAGATGCGAGGACTTCAACTCCTAGAATTCCTTAGTCAGCTTGCTTAAATGAAGTTAACTGCTGATTTGATGTATACATTGTGTAGAACGTACAGTATTTGCTAGGGCAAACTCATTAACCATGGAGCAAGTTTGGGATTATTCTTTGACCTGCAATAAAATATACATTTTTTCAGTTATGATTTTAAAACACTGCTTTATTTCTTTCCAGGCTGGCAACCCCGGTGGTTCCTTCTTGCAGGAGGTGTGTTATCCTATTATGACTCACGGGAAGATGCTTGGAAAGGCTGTAAGGGGAGCATTCAGATGGCAGTTTGTGAAATTCAAGGTAAAGAGACAAGATCCGCAAAGTATATCTTCTTGCTTATTATATTCAATGACTTTGTTTAGAAACTCATCTGTAGCTTCAAAAGCCAAGTATAGGAATCTGTGATTAAGTGCCATAGACCCATGCTTTTCCAGATATGTTCCGGGTTTTTTTCTCTTCCTCTTTGGCATGAAAAATCATAATATTTGCTTTATTTCCTGTTATATGTGAAAAAGAAGACCTTTACATTAATATCAGTTAACCAACAGCCCCAATAATTTATTAACTTAGTTTTTAAACTGAGATGAAACCCAAAATTAACTTCACTGAAGAAATTAAATTAAAAGAAAACTGTAATATCAGGTAAACGAGAATTTTTGTGACAAAGTAGAAATCATTAATATGATATACATATTTTGATTTATTAATGCAAAATATGTTTTACAAGTCTTAAGATAGTGTGCAACACCTCACTTATTCATTCCTGGTGCATTGTGATTCGGATCTATGATTCTGATTTTTTTTCTGTTTTTCCCATCCATAAATTTGGTTGTAAAAAAGAACTGCGATTAGTAATTCCAGGAGTTTTCATTTGGTTTATTTAGAAGAAAGGAAGAAAAAGGCTGCATATAATCAGACAGATTGTGTCTGAATCAAGTTAGTCAATTTACATGTTAGACTGTAGAAAATGTTGATTGAGAGTTTCATCTCCCACCTGACTCTGTTGATATTAGTTCATTCTACAGATAATACACGCATGGATTTGATGATTCCTGGAGAACAGTGTTTTTATCTCAAAGCTAAAGATACAGCTGAAAGACAAAAATGGTTGGTTGCCCTGGGAACTGCCAAGGCTTGTTTGACAGATATTCGGACATTAAAAGAAAAAGGCAAGCAATTCTCATATGGGGATCAACTTAATGTAGTATTTCTCAGCTTCCCTCAAGGGAACATTTTCTATTTATATACATTTCCAATCTTTGAATTACTTGCTGCACAAAAGCTTTCTTGAACAGGCTTTGTTTTGTTTCTTTCAAAATTGTCTCTCTGATTTTCTATTCCTGGGAATCTTTATGATGAATAGGGATTTAAGTATGGATGTCTCCTGAACACTTGACAATCTAACAACTGCACAACAATGAATTCCTTCTTTTATAAGTCCTATCAGCTAATTAAAAGTATTGTAGTAATATATAATGTAAGAAAAGGGTGTTTTAATAAAAAATTGCATTTACTCAAGTATTACTTCTAATTTCCACCAAGTGAAAATTATAACCTATTAAAATCTATCATTAAAACAAGATCTAAAAAACTATCCTTGTTTTGTTATACAAGAATATATTATACAGTATATTCTTAAAGACGTTTTCTAATTTGAAACTTTGCATATTATTTTAGTGTCAAAAATTAATATACTGCATTAGTTTATATCAAATTTTCATTTCATGGTTTTCTTTTATACTGCCTTCCACAATTTAAGGAATAATTATATGGTCACTTTTCTAAATACAATATTCTTTGGAATAATGTTTATTTGTTGAGAAGCCATTGGAGATGCCTTTGATTAAATAAAATGTTAACAAGACTGATTTTTCTAATTTAATTTAGAATTTACAGAAAACACTGAAATGTTGAAAACAAAAATGGCAGAACTTAGATTATATTGTGACCTCCTGGTTCAGCAAGTGGAAAAAATTAAAGCAACTACTACAACTTCACATGTTCAGGTAATATGTTTCAAAAAAGAACTCCCTTTTGTCAGAAGTATTAGAATTGAGATGTTTGTAAAGGACTTCAGTGACAAGTATCTTATAGAGACAGTTTGCAAGAAGAATTGTTTTATTCTGATTATGTCATTGTAAACTTTGCTCTAGTATCAGGCCTTTCTTCTGCTCTTACAAAGTTATTTGATAGAAATTTCATTGTGGCTTCCATACAGCAATCAATATTTGGCTTTGAAATAGAATTCAGGCCTTCTGAAAGTAGATTTGATCTGGCTCTTTTGATGATCTGAGTCACAGTGTTCAGATCACCATGAACTCTGTCTACAGGTGAATTAGTTGATTTTCACATGCACGTAATATGGAAGTAATAAGAAATTTAAACCTGGGTATATTTTAAACAATTTGGTATTTGGTAAGTGCTTGATACATATCTCTAAAACAGGGCTGTCAAACTCGTGGGCCAGATGCATCACGCGCTGGCCACGCCAAAGCCCAGTTTAGCGAAGGGGGAAAAAGTCATGATACGTCATGTGATGCCGTAGGTTTGACACCTCTGCTCTAAAGTGTATCGAAAACTTGCTCCTTTTGTTACATTGCAAAGAAGTAACAAGGACACTGAGAAATCTCATCTCGTGTTTGATTAGAAATAATGCTACAGAGAAAATACTCTTGGAAGAGAGAAGCTATGTATATTCTTCTTATTCACATAATTCATGCAAGATATCATTACACATAATTTTGATATGAGTTGTCTTGCCCTATCACTCCTTTTAAATGGAAAGGCAAATAGGCAAAAGACATGCCAACAACTCAGACTGGCTGCATTTTTAAAGATACAGAATCTTCTGAGTTTTCCAGGAAGCCTCACTTCTACCTGGATAATAAGGTCTTGGTAAATATATATATGTGTGTTTTAGCAGTCAGCAATGCAATATGAATAATTCTTCTTGCTTTTAATGAACCTTTAGTGCCAAGTTTAGTATCAGAAATAGCCTGGGTACTTTTGTGTCAGGAAAGCTGGCAAACATGAGAGTTAGAATCCTTTTGGTGGAACATGAAAATGTTTAAGATCTTCCTCTTTATAAACCCTCATGAGAGATATATGTTGAAAAAAATAACTTCTTGGCTATGACAAGTTCCAATATGGAATATATTCCCTAAGAATATCTGCTTGGCATTAATTGTTGGCTGGAAGAGAAAACTTTTTTCCTCAGACATCTTTAAAATTAAAATCAATAATGGATTTTATTATTGCTCTATTTTGAAATTTCATATCTTTCAGATCAGTTAAACTTATTTCAGTTGAACAGTTATTTCTAGATAGCATATACGTTCCCAGTTGTTAGAAACTAACACTAAAAAAAATCTACTCTAGCTTTTAAAAAATTGCAGCTTCCATTGCTGTACCTCTATTTAAGTGCAAACTATTCTGGAATTTACCAATGAAGAACAGTTAATTAATGTGCTATATAAATAAATATTTAATGCAGATATGTCATCTGAGCTGGAAAAAATGAAACCTGATATTGAACATTGGCAGTTGGGATAATGATGTAATCCTTGAAAATTTTGAATTTTGCAGCATGGAATTAATATGGGAGCACTATTGAACTCCAGTTGTGCCACATTCCTGAAGACTCTTGAAGAATGTATGCAGATTGCAAATGCTGCCTTTTCTTCTGAATTGCTTCAACATACTCCAGGAGAAACTTCATATTCAGTTATTCGCAAATTAAACAAGGTAAGTTTAATACAATCTCAGATACTACAAAATACTTTATGAACTGGCAATTTATGTTTGCATATGGCACAAATTAGTGACATTGCTCAGCATAACTGAACAATAAGGCAATACTTTTTGGCAATCTACAGTCAGAATCAAAGCAAAATGCTGAGCAGGTCATTGGATAGACCTAAAAGAGATAAGAGATTTCTTCCAAAACACAGTTAGATAACTTCCTCCAAATTTTTAATTTTGCACCATTATCTACTGATATGTTCTGAAACAGTAGCTTTCTGTCAAAGAAAATAATCATAGAAAACAAGCACGGTAGGTCTTACCTGCCAAAAGGGTGACTTTTTATTATAATAACCATTCATTAGATATTCGTAGAATGAGCAATTCCAAGTGCATATATAATTGAACAGGCAGTTTTTTGGCTTTAGATGTGAAAATTACTCTGGAAAAGAACAAAACAGCTTATGAACTGATTATCTTTTTGTCAAGAAAGCCTGTAAAATGTCTACTTTTTTGTAGAAAAAAATTAAATATGAGCGAGAAATTTATTAACAGACAATGCATTTTTAACATGTTACAAATATGGTTTGTTCATAAGTTCATTTAAAGGTCTGCATTTCAAGTCACGGTTAAAAAAACCAATTACCAAGCAGGTTTGTCAAGTGCTGCTTTGGGTGTGGTCTGCAATATTTCAGAAGTTTTAAATGTATTTCTTGCTCATTGTTGCTCATGGATTGTATATAGGTAGTCCACAACTTATAGCAATTCATTTAATGACCGTTTGAAGTTACCATGGCACTGAAAAAAGTGACATGACAATTTTTTACGATTATAATCATTGCAGCATCCCCATGGTCATGTGATTTACATTCAGATGTTTGACAACTGGTTCATATTTGTTACAGTTGCAATGTCCCAGAGTCATGTGATCACCTTTTGTCAACTTCTGACAAGCGAAGTCAATGGGAAAGCCAGGTTCACTAAACAGTAGTGTTACTAATTTAACCACCGTACTGATTCACTTAACAAATGTGGCAAAAAAGGTCATAAAATGGGGCAAAACTCACTTAACAAATTTCTCAGCAACAAATTTTGGGCTCAATTGTGGTCGTAAGTCAAGGACAACCTGTAACTGGGATGAAATGTGCAGTACAGGATTTGTTTCCTTCTGCAATATATCATGTGATTTTTGCTTTTATTTTACCAATATGCTAGTCTGCTATACTAAGATATGATGACTTCCACCTGCCCAACCGGCATGGCGAAAGGTGGCTGGGAAAAGATAGTGACAGACCTCAGAGTCAGCTGCCAAATTTGGATCTCAAATAGTTTGAACATTTTTTCATAGATCTTTCAGCCTTTAACGCTGAAATTAAATTGATTATATTTATAAAATGAATGTCATATCATTTTCAGATGCTAAAAATATAATCCAAACATAGGGAACAGTATTAATATTTCAAACTGAAAAACAAAATTATTGAGATAAAAATGATACAAATAAACTTGTCTGTACTCTCAACAAAAGTTTTGTGTTGTAAGATCAACCTGGATTGTTAAATGTTGATATTCCAGGACTAATATTTTATATGAGATCCCTTTTTTCTTTTCTTCTTTATTTTTCATAGCTGAAGATTGCTATTTATGTGTGGTATTAGCATGAATTTTAGGTTTGCTTAGCTGAGTTATTTCCCGTTTACTCATTAGACTAAATGAATTGGTGTACTCATTCATACATTATATATGTATTCACATATAATGTTTTAATTTTTTAATTTTTTCCATATTTTGATGAACTTAAGGTAGAGTATCGAACCCAGAAGAATGTTGCCAGTGCTTGAACTCATAGCAATCATTTTTTTCCCTTGCAGCTGAAACTTCCTGCCATACTTAGCCGCAGTGTAACAGAAAGGTACTTTTCTTATTTTTTCTTCATTCAGTTGAAGATTTTCTCAATGTCTAATATTTATGTAGTGATCCCAGCCCTCTATTAGTGTTAGCAATAACAGGGAGAAGCTATTGCAAATAATGGTGCTTTAATGAGGTGATTTTACTAAAAGTTCTCAAGGTGCCAGACAACATCTAGAAAGCCACAAGTATCTTCCAACTTCCTTTCTTTTTTTTAATGATCAGAGATCTCTATTCCTTTTGAACTCTGTCCATACAAAATTTCTGTATTTAAAGTCCATCCAAATAATTTGTCTTACATTTCTGTATATTCTTAAGTCACTGCCATTAGATAATTTTAAATGGATACCTTATTTATAAATAAATAAGTGCATATCAACAAACTGCAAAATCCATATAACACCCATAGAACCATCTGCTTCTTTTTTGTAAAAAAAATATTGGTTTTTAAGACAAACATTGACAAACAAAACATAAAAACATCAAGCCATCTTCCATCTTCCATACATACAGTGTGTCGGTTGGTTTACAAATTTTTTTCATTTCGTAGTCTTCAATTACAATTACATTGCATATATTCCCATATTTTCAATCAAATATTAAATACATTAATATCATTGTTAATCATTTGACTATACTTTTATTCATGTTTTACAAAATAATCCATATTTTACTTAATTTGTTTTATGACAATTCATATTATCATCTCAAATCTATCCTACAATCATTTTGTAGATATAATAAGAAAAAAATACATCTTTATATATTTATTATTTTCTAAGAATCTACATATTTCATTACCATGTCTAACCATTGATAGAATAGATCCCAAATTTTATAAAATTGTTTATCGTCTTGTTCTCTGATTTCAAATGTCAATCTACTCATTTCAGCACATTCCAATATTTTCTTAATGATTTCCTCCTGTAATGGTATTTTCTCATTTTTCCAGTTTTTGGCAAATACAATCCTAGCCGCTGTTAATACATTTACAATCAGGTATTTCAATTCTTTACTATATATTTCAGGTAAAATTCCCAATAAAAATATCTCTGGTTTCAAGTCTATATGCTTTTTTGTCATTTTTTCCAACCACGTGTGGATTTTAGTCCAATATTTTTTAGCATCCGCACAAGTCCACCACATATGGTAATATGAGCCAGGTATCTGATGACATTTCCAACATTTTTCAGATTTGTTCTTCGACATTCTTGCTATTCTTGTCGGGGGGAAATGCCACCTGTAAAACATCTTATACAAATTTTCTTTATATGCTGTTGACATTGTCATTTTATAATTTTGAGACCACAATTTTTGCCATTTCTCTAGATCAATCCCATATCCAAAATTCTTCCCCCAAGCAATCATTGTTTTTTTAACATGTTCTTCTTCTAATTTAATTTCTAATAAATATCCATACAATTTTTAAATCACCTTTTCATCAGTACCTGTCAAAATCTTATCTAAATCAGTCAGTTTATCATAAAAACCTTCTGTTTTAGAATCTTTATCATACCTTGAATGTATTTGCGCATATGAAAACCAATTCATCTTTATACCTTGTTCCTCTAATTTTTGCATAGATTTAAGTTCACCCTTTTCATTCAATATTTCACCATATCTGTTTGTTCCTTTTTGTATATTATCGGATAAGAAAATGCTTCAATAGTCGATAGCCAGACTGGAATTGTCAAATAACATTGTCTTTTAGTCTTCTCCCAGTTTAACCACAGAGACTCCCATATATAATGTCTTCTAAAATACCCCTGTGTTTTAGTTCCTTTATACCATAAAAAAGCATGCCACCCCAACAACAGATCATGTCCTTCTAATGTCAACAATCTAGTATTTCTTAATGTTATCCATTCCTTAACCCAGGGGTCCCCAACCACCGGTCCGTGGAACAAGTCCTACCGGGCCGCTGGTTTGCTGGGCGCCGCCATCTTTTTTTGATGAAAAAGTGCTTCTGGTGAGCTTTTCCGGGTAGAAAGCTCACCGGAAGCACTTTTTCATCAAAAAAAGATGGCGGCGCCCAGCTAATGCCGGTACCGGGCCGCGCCATAAAAAAGGTTGGGGATACCGGGCCGCGGCATAAGAAAGGTTGGGGATCACTGCCTTAACCCACATCAAATTTGTAGCTTGGTAATACAACTCTCAATTAGGCAAACCAAATCCTCCTCTTATTCTGGCATCTTGCAAAAGTTTTAACTTTATTCTCGCTTTCTTACCTTGCCATATATATTTCAACACGATTTTATTTAAATCCTCAAAATAATCTTTTCCAAGCCTAACTGGAATTGTTTGGAACAAATATAAAATTCTGGGTAATATATTCATCTTGATTGTTGATATTCTCCCTATTAATGACAGTTGTAAATTTTCCCATTTCGCCAAATATAGTGCTATCTGCTGCTTAAGTTTGATATAATTATTCTCTTTTAGTGTACTACATCTTGGTGTCAAATGTATCCCCAAGTACTTGATCTTATTCATGACCTGAATTTTCAATAGATCCGCCAATTCTTCCTTCTGTCTTGATAGCATATTCTTTGTCAAGATCTTTGTCTTATCTCTATTTATTTTCAAACCAGCCACCTTTCCATATGCCTCTATCTTTTCTATCAATTTTGATGCTGTTTCTTTTTTTTTATGAAAAACTTTATTAATTTTACCATTAAAAACAACACATCTACAAATTATATACAGAAGAGAAAGCTAACAGGCCTTGGCAGAGACCAAGAAGGAAAGAAAGAAGGGCAAATGGGGGAGGAGAGGGAGGGTAAGGGAAAGGGGGGATAGAATGGGGAAAACAGTTAAAATAAAACCATATTTTTGTGACTGTCTGTAAGATCCTGTCTTCTTCAAGTATATCGTCAGCGGTACTTTTCATTAACTCTGCTTAGGTAGCCTTTGGCTACAATTTTTCTCAAAGTAGTCTATCTTTGATTTAGCCAATTGTACCACGGACAAACTAACCCAATCATTAAAAATAAAGAATCCTCAACCTATTATAACAATTTTGATGCTGTTTCTAGTGGGTCTTCTAAAATGAAAACCAGATCATCTGCGAATGCTTGCAACTTAAATATTTCCTTTTTAATTTTCATCCCTTTTATAGCCTTTTCTTCTCTAATATTTCTGTTTAGCACTTCCAAGGTTAACACAAACAACAGAGGTGATAGTGGGCACCCTTGTCTTGTTCCTTTTCTTATATCAGTAGATTCTGTCAATTCTCCCTCTATCATTACCTTTGCCATTTGCTTATGATATATAGCTTCTATTGCTTGAATAAATTTTTTAGCAAAGCCCATCTGTTCCAGCTGTAATAACATGAATCGCCAATTCACATTATCAAATGCCTTCTGTGCATCTAGAAATATCAAAGCCATTTGTTTTTCAGGATGTGCCTTGTAGTATTCCAAAGTGTCCAAGATTACTCTCATATTGTCTTTAATTTGTCTCTTTGGCAGAAATCCACTTTCATCAGAATGGATAAAATTGTTTAAGTATTTTTTAAGTCTTTCTGACAATATTGAAGCAAAAATTTTATAATCTGCGTTTAGTAAGGAAATAGGTCTATAGTTCTTGCTTTGTAATGGATCGGCCTCCTTTTTTGGGACAAGTGTAATATAAGCTTCTGACCATGATTTGGGAATCTTCTTCTTTAACATAACTTCATTCATAACTTCTAGCAATGGAAGGTTCAACGATTCTTGTAGTGTTTTATAAAATTCTGCCGGAAGTCCATCTGGGCCTGGTGCCTTTCCATTGTTTTGCTTCTTGAGTGCTTCAGTTAACTCCATCATCGTTATATTGCTTTCTAACATTGTTTAAAGAGATTTCTTTAGGTATCTGGGGTAGATTAGCATTCTTTAAGTACTGTTTAACTCTTTCCTCATCAATATTATCTTGTGTGTATAGTTTCCCATAATAGTCTCGTATAATTTCCTTCTTCTCTTTACTACCATAGCAAACTTGGCCTTGGTCATCTATTAATTGCAATATTTTCCTTGATTCTTTCTCCTTTCTCAATTTATATGCTAACCATCTACTTGGTTTATTTGCATCTTCAAAGTCGTTCTGTTTTGCACCTCTGATTTTCTGTGCTAGTTCTTTTTCTATTAGACCCAGTTTATGTTTAATTATATCCATTTTTAACTTAATGTCCTTTTTCTGTGGCATTTTCTGTAACTCTTTTTCAAGTCCTTTATACTCATCCTCTAATTCCTTAGAGGCCAGTCTTTTCATGGTATTTCTTTTCCTTGTATAGTCTATTATCAAGCCTCTGGCATATGCCTTCATTGTATCCTATATGTTCTGCATTGATGTATCTTCTTTTTTGTTTTCTCTAAAGAAGAAAGCCAGTTCTTTCTCCATCCACTGTGTGAAGTCTTTTTCCTTTAATATAGTATTATTTAACGTCCATCTAGATCTTCTTCTTTGTCCTTTCCATTTAATTGTCATTGGGTTGTGATCTGCCCAAGTACTTGTTTCAATATTTATTTCTTGAATAACAATTCTGTTGACATCCATATCATATCTATTCTGGACCATGATAAATGTCTATTTGAATAGAAGGTGTATTGTTTAGTCTTAGCATTTCTTATTCTCCATGTATCTTTTAAATTTATTTCATCTATCATTTTAAAAAAAGATTTAGGGAGAGTCTTTCTGTTTTGCTTTGTTGTTTTCTGTGCTGTGTAGTCCAGTTTATTATCTACAATTCCATTAAAATCTCCCATCATAACTATATTAGCATAGTCCAGTTCAATTATTTTCACATGTAATTTTTTATAAAATTCTTCTTGATTGTCATTCAGGGCATAGATTGCAATCAGGAGTGTTTTCATATTATTGTCCATTATTTCCACCATTAGTATTCTTCCATCATCATCGGTATAGATCAATTTCACTGGGATAATATCTTTAATGCATAAAACCACTCCTCTTTTCTTGCATTGTGTCAAAGAAGTAAATATTTTCCCTAGTTTTGGCTGTATCAACAATTGTTCATGTTGCTTTTTGATATGTACTTCTTGTAGGCAGATTATATCAAATTTTAATTTCTCTAATTTATGGAAAGTATTCCTTCTTTTAACAACTGAGTTAAGTCCATTTATGTTAATTGTAATAGTTTTTTCTCTTCCATGGTTATATTTTGTAGTTAGGTTTAGCAGCTTTCGTAGATCTCGGTTCACGTTGTTCTTTGACTTCCACCTTTCCACCTACTGCACCTTCTTTTTTTTTGGTCGCCATTTGGCAGTCCTCTTGGAATTCAATTAGTGAAATTTCTTTTTCTGCCGCCTCCTCTTTCCCTCCAAAAAATTATGTGTAAAACAATTCAGTTTTCTCAATTGAGTCAATTCTATGTCTCTGTTCTTGCAATGTGAACATTAAACCTTCTGGAATCAGCCATCTATAATTCACCTCTTTTTAAAGTAGCATTTTGGTCAAAAATCGGTATTCTCTTCTCATCTCTCTCACTCTTCTGGGTACTTGTTTCAGGACCTCAATCTCCTTGTCTTTATATTTCAATGTTTTCTCTCTTGCCACTTGCAGTATTTGCGTTTTAATGGCTTTCTTTGTAAATCTGATGTGAACTTCTCTTGGTAAGCTATTTCTCATTGCATATCTTGTGAAGACTCGATAAACCTCATCTATTCCATCCATCATCTTCTCTTGAGTTATTTCCAAAGCTTCAAGCCAAAATTTCTATCATTGTCTCAGCTAGGTTTTGTCCCTTTTCTTCCTCTATGTTTTGGAATCTGAGATAAAATTCTGATCTGTCCATCTCCCATCTCAACATCCCACTTTTATCTTGTTCAACCACAGTTAATCTGCTATCAATATCTCCAATCTTCTTATCTCTTTGTTTATCTTTTTCTTCAATTTTTTGGAATCTCTCATCATACTTCATCATCATTTGTTGAATGTTCAACACCTTTTCATCAGTTTTTCCTGTTCTTTGTTCAATGTTCTCTGTTCTCTTTTCAATATTCTCTGTTCTTATTTGAATATTTTGAATTCCTTGCTTAATCATCTGCAGGGTCACTTTTTCCTGTTCTTTTTCTTGCTGTAACATCGTCTGTATTGAACATTGTCCTCCAGATGGTGAAGAGGAAGAAGTAGAAGTTGAGGAACCAGGGACTGTTAGTTTCCTACTTATTTCGGACAATTCAAAATCTTCAGGTTCTTCTAGACCTTAATCCACTTGTGAAATAACCAATTGTAATTCCAAGTAAAAATAGTAGGAAAAAAGAAACCAAATAGTAGTAGTAGTAGTAGTAGTAATAATAATAATAATAATAATAATAATAATAATAATAATAATAATAATAATAATAATAATAATTTATTCAGGTTCTTGTATATCTTAATCCAATCGACTGGTTAGATATCAGTAAAACTCAAAAATGGAAGAAAAGACCATAAACACACACAAAAAAGGAAAAATTGTTAACTCCTGAAAAAGGCGGAAAAGTAAAAAAGAAAAAAGAAAAGAAAAGTTCTTCAGGTTCTTCAACACCTTAATCCAATTAAAAAGTCTCAGATATAAAAGGATGCATAAGAAAAAAAAAAGAAAGCCACAAAAATAAAAAAAAACCAATATGGAAGGTAAATAGAAAAAAAATACAAGGAAGGGAGAGAGAAAAAAGAAAAGAGACTACTCCCTTAAAAAGAGGGCGGGGAAAGGAAAGAAATCATTAATACTAAAGCTTTTCCTTTAAAATAAAATGCAAACATAAAAATTAGACTTCAAAAGACAAAAAGAAAGACAAAAACAAGTTCCAAAAGGCCAAGAATCCAAATAGCTATTATAAAAAGTAAGCTAGTAAGGAGGGGGTTTGTTAAAGTAAGAAATAGCCCAGCTTAAAAAAAATAAAAGGAGCACACTGCACCTTGTTTGGTTATCCAAGGCTTTTGTTAAAATTTATAACTCTCTTCTCCAGAGTCTTATCACCTTTTTTTTCTATAAACTTCAACACCAGACTCCAGTTATTGATAGAAAACCAGAAGAGCACCTGCAATAATACTCTCCCATGCTCTTCCCTCTATCTTATCAAACAGGCAATGTCCTTGAAAAGAAGGCTCAGTTCTTTCTTGGCTTTGTCTGGTCAGGAAGAAAAAGAGATAGAATATTTGCAAGCCTATAGTTGGCAGTGTTACAAAGTTTCTTCTGCTTTCACTTTCCCCCTCCTTTTCCAAACAAGATATAATAAAACTTAATTAAAAAGGGGAAAAGATATTTAAAAAGATGACTAAAAGGGAGTCTCTAGCCTAGAATATTATAAAGTCAAAAAGAAGAGAAAGAATAGGTGGAAGAAGAAAAAAAACCAGTCCAGTTTCAAAATATAAAATCATGTGTAGAAAATCCAGCAATGAGTTGGGAAAAATTACTTTGACTTCCTGTTTAAAATTGTCGCTTAGTCACTTCTGTGAAAACTTTTACAGATTCTTTCTTTTCCTTAGGGTGTCCTTTCAAATCTTAAAGTAAAGAAAAAATTCTCACCAAACCGGCACACTTTCTCTTTCCGTTCTCTTTCGTTTCGGAGCTGTCCCAACTTCAGCAGCTTTAATGGCTGCCTCTTTACCGCTGGCAAAAAGAGCTTCTTCTGGAACTACCAGGGACTTTGCGGTATCCCTTGGATCGAAAGGATGCACTCTTTACATTCACCATCTCTTCGGGACGGTTTAGATTCGATTGGACCGTCCAGGAGCAAAGATATCGGCAGCGATCTCAGACCTCCAAGATTGAATGCCTTATCATCTAGACACCAGCTCCGCCTCCCAGAACCACCTGCTTCTGATGCCAATGCTGCATTTATGTTTTAAAAATAAATATCATTCTTCATTTATTAGCATGAAAAAGTCCAACTGGACAGTCAATAGTGAGAGTTTTACTTTCTAAAGATGTAACTGCAGCTACTGGATCAGAAAAGTAAACTCTTAAAAAATGTAGTATAACACATAAAAATGGAAAGAGAGATGAGAACATTATGTAAGACAAGCATTAATATTTAGCATTAATTTGGCTTTCCCTTTTTTAATTTCTTTCTTCCCAGGAAGATGGAACTAAAGCAATATGAAAATGGGTCTATTTATAAAAATACTACCCTTCATGAAAAAACTTTTATTGAAAAATCATCCCCTGTACCCCTAAAGAGAAGCGAAAGGAAAGGTAAGAAAAGAGCCTTATTTGTTCTCCGGAGAATCTGTGGAGAAATTATTTCATATCTACCCATAACAAAATCCTGAGTTGGTACAGAATACACAATTGTGAGCTTGAAGAGGACCAATTAGAACACAATATCATTTGCAATGTGCTTTTCATTTTGTGTCTGTCCTGCTAGTTTCAGATCATGAAAGACCCATATCTGAAAGGGAAAAGGAGGGAAGAAAGACAGAAGAATGAAGACATAGAAAGAAAGATGAGTGAGCGGATATGTGTTTGTGAAGACATGTGTCCCCTTTCTCTATAATACCCAAACATTTGAATAAAGGGTTGTGAGGAATTTGACATTCTCCTGTTGTAATATTAAGGGTTTGTCTTCAAGACAGAGAGGTACTAGAGAATTGAATTAGAGCAGAGGTGTCAAACTCAATTTCATTGAGGGCCTCGTCAGGATTGTGTTTGATCTTGGGGGGGCGGGGCATGGCCAGCTGGATGTCATTCACCAAGGCTTTGTTTTGGGCTGTGACGTGTGCAGCCTCGAGTTCCATTTTTGCCGGCAGAGGGTTGCAGGGGGCCATCGCAGCCCAAAACAGAGCCCGGGAGGGAAGCACACAACCCTCCCAAGCTCCTTTTTCACTGCCAGAGACGCCACGGGCTGGTCCTTCACTGTTTCCAGGGCGGGCCCACGGGCCAAATCTAAGCACCCTATGGGCTGGACTGGATATGGCTCCAGGGTTTGACACCCCTGAATTAGAGTAATAAGGATTTAGAGTCTGCTGAAATTTGATTTGTTGTTTATTTTCCTATTGTTTGGAAAATATTTATGGATTTGCTAACTAAATTATAATGCATCTACAGCTTTGCCACCTGGATACTGCACATACACATCCATTCTGGTCTTTCTAATATTAATTATTAATTATATTAATTTTCCACAATTAGCCTCCACACCATTTAAAGATTTTTGTTTCTTTAAATCTAAGGTAGCCCCAGTAAAGATGGAGAAAACAAGCTGCTACCACAAGGGAACATTCAAGATGACAAACCTTTAGAGCCTTTAGAAGAACCTGTAAACAGATCAGCAGACACAGATCTTCCTACTTTCTTCAGTGCTATGAAATATAGGTAGTATGCCACCTGGATGGAGCATCCTCCCAAAATCTTAATGGAATTTGATCCAAAGCAGTATAACTCTCCACAGAATTTATCATCTGCATGCTTACCTAATATGGTTTATAACAGAAGAAAAACTAGTAAACATTTATAAATATTATAAACTACAGGTAGTCCTTGACTCTTATCCAGTTATTTTATCATCATTCAGAGTTATGACAGAAACAAAGCAGCCCCCCCCCCAATCATCACAAATGGTCACACCACCTCCCTTCTGTGGTCATGTGAACTGCATATTGGGCAGGGCAGCTCTTTGACCAATTGTGGCACACCACCTTTATAAGACCGTAATTTGTAGTATTTTTGTGTGGGATTTTTTGGGGGGTGGGGTGGGGTGGATGAGAAAATGCTGGTTCATTTAATGATTGCAGTATTTGTTTAATACTGGCTTGAAAAAGACCATAAAATTGCATAAATGCCTCAGCCTACAGCCATTGCACAACTGTAACCAATCATAGTTTACATTTGTAAATCAAAGACTACCTGTAGAAGATTTTGAAATAGGATTCAGGGTGGAGTTATTTTTTATTATTATCGCAGGATTGGGTTTTTAATGTTTTGTTTGCATTCTTTTCCAAAGATTTAATGATATCAAGCTTTTTGACGATGGGGGAATACCAACAGAAGAATTTCTGAATTCCTGTTATGAAATAGTTCCAGTCTTGGGTAGGTATGATTGCTGGTTTTCTCCATAACATTTATTGTATATGGATGCTGTTGGCTGCTTTGGGTATTCCATGCTGGGTCATAGAATAGATTCTGTAGATTGTAAATAGGTTATCCTTAGTTATCCTCAGTATTTGCCTTAGACTTTTCCAAAATAATTCAGTAAAGTAAGTCTTTCTTTTTTATGATAGTTAGGAAGATAGAGAATGATCTAAGAAGTTGTTATGGACTATTAGTGGCAATAACCCATAATAACCATAGTTGTTAACCGTTATTGGTGGCAGGAAGATAAAATAAACTTGATTACAGGTTTTAGGCAGATTTTTTTTGAGGCAGTTGCAACATATCTTTTTCCTTTTTAAAAATAATAACTTTATATAACTTTATAAAAAGCTTTAATTACAATAATATTTTTCCTGCAGAATTTTTTCTTGAAGGATCTCTTGGCATGTATTTTAATTTAATTTTAATTTATTTTTATTCTGTGTTTTTTTTAATAATTTAAGCCAGCGAACAGACCTAATATTCCTTCCTTCTCCTGACTTTCCCACAACAACCTTTTGAAGTGAGCTGCACTAAGAGAGAGTGACTGGTCCAAAGTCACCCATCTGGCTTTCATGCCAAAATGGGTTTAGAACTCACAACCTGTTATTTTCTAGCCCAGTGTCTAAATCAAATTAGCTTGCAATGTGTAAGTTGAGACATTCAATATGTCTGAAATAAGCCTCAAATAAAACTTCACTGTAGAGTGCGGATCTACTTGGATAAACTTCAGTAGGGAAAGCTTTTTATTTGTTTCCTTGGTACCAACCAATAATCAATGAAACTTACTTCTAAATAGACTTACAGACCTCTTTATAAATGTTTCATTGTTTATTTTTTTGTCTGGCTCTTGCTATATTTTCATGGAACTCCATTGATTTCCATAGTGTTGCCTTTGGATGTTGTCTTCTTTCTAAGCATGAAACAGATCAAGATCTATATAGCAGCATGATCTTGATTAGTCTGAAAGACTGATTTCAACAGTTCATTCATGCATTCATTCATTTAGTTTTTATTCATTAAATTTATATACCACACATCTCCCTAATCAAAATAACATTATTTCAGAGTGTAATTTAGAAGCTGCTAAATATTTAGCTCATTTTGTTCAGGTTCAATCTCTTATGCATCTCCATTGCATATGTAACCAATTTAGCTTGAGTTTTTCAGATAGTCCCCAACTTATGGCCTTAATGGAGACTGGGGTTTCTGTTGTAAGACATGGATTATAAATTGAAGAACCCAGGTGACTGGGCCTGGTTTTATTACCTTTTTTGTGGCAGTTGTTAAATGAACACGATGGGGGTTAAGTAATGTAGTGATAATAAGTAAATCAACATTCCTATAGGCATTTTCAGCTGGAAATGACCTGGAAAGGCCAGAAATGGGCAAAATGGCCATCATAAATTACAGTCACATGACCTCAAAACACTGTCCAGTCAAAAAGGTGAGCGGATTGTCCAGCATGTGAAATGAAGTCATGTGACTCTGGTGGTCAGAGAATGCAACCATTGGAACTACAGTACTAAGTCATGTAGTTTTAGGGGGTCCATCCTAACTTTGAACAGTTGCTAAGTAATCGGTCATCAAATGAGGACTACCTGTATATGTACCAATTTTACAAAGAGGTGTTCATCAGGCTTGAGCTGACCTCCCAAAATAGTTCTAAATGTGTGTTGTGGCCATGAAATTTCTAAAGCCATTGCTCTAGGAAGTCTGCAAAGCCTGAACATGTTAAATGCTCTTATGAGGATGTATCCCTTTAGGTGGGGAAGGAAGGCTAATGAGATGTTCCAGATGTTTATTACGAAAGATTTAAAAATATCTTGTAAAGATTATAAGCTAATTCAAGCTATCATTGCAGATGGCCCCCACTTAATGGCATCCTGTTCAGTAACTACTTAAACTTATGATGGTACTGAGTGAATGGAATTTACAACCATTTTTCACAGTTACAGTGGTTGCAGCATCTCAGCAGATTTACTGTATAATCTGTGGAGTGGACCCTTGGCACCCAGCTTGCAACTAAGACATCTTTCCATCCTAAGACTACCATTTGCAATCTTCTTTACCAGTTTCTGACAAACAAACTCAGTGGGGAAGCCAGGAGGAAGTCACAAATGGTGATCACATGACATCATGCTTAACAGCAACCAGAAGTACTAGAATACATCACTAAGGACGTGATCGTGTGATGTTGCATTTTATTATTTAAATTTCTGTTCCAATTATTGTCATTAAGTGAAGGCTAGCTATACTTTTCTCAAAAATTATGTCTCAACCTGGGACCAACACTTTGCATCCAACACAGATTGTTTGAAAATAGTTTGCAGCTTTAGCAACATTTGGGGTGAAAGGAATTTTTTTTTAATAATTATAATTTTGGACTGTTCTTTAAAAGAATGAGAGAAATGAATTAAGAACAATGATGTCATGTAGGCATTTGGAAGAAGAAGCATGCCAAATTTATGTTAACAGAAAATTGAGATATATTCCACAATCTCTTTCTGTTTGGGGAGAATTTTTTTTTTTTTTACAATCCTCTAATCTCTTTTATTGGGCTGGAGTTGGGGTGACTGAATGAAGTTGAGTGTTTACTGGCTGGATGCCTTCCTGACGCCTACACAGAGTTTGCAGCAGACATTTTCTCTTTGTACCCTGATAGAAAAACATCTGTTTCTGCTTAGGACTGAACTCTCAGCCTTCCAAGTGGGAGGCAAGTATCTTCACCTCTAGGCTGCTCATGAGGAGACAATAATCTGATAGCAAAAATAATTCTTCCTCCACTGTTTCCATAGAGTAAGAGAGAGAAGAGAAATTCTGATACACAGGCAGAATTCTCCCCGTATAATATCAGATATAGCCCAAGGGTGACATCCTTCCTGCTCTTTTGTGCTAAATCAGAATTTTGTAGATGCCAGTTAAAGAGGGCCTTGAGGGAACCAAACTTGAAAAAGACAATGTTTTCTTTTTTTCTAGACAAACTTGGACCCACAGTCTTTGCCCCTGTTAAAATGGATTTTGAAGGAAATATAAAGGTAATAGATTCAGTTTAACATTCAGTGGCCATTAATATATAACTTTCATAGCATTGTAGAACTGAAAGGAACCATTTAGACCAGTGGTAGTTAACCTGGTCCCTACCGCCCACCAGTGGGCATTCCAGCTTTCATGGTGGGCGGTAGGGGTTTTGTCCCCTGCTTTATAAAATCACCATTACTGTGGAACCGGTGGACGGTTAGAGAAAATTTTACTACTAACAGAGATACAAAAGTGGGCAGTAGGTATAAAAAGGTTGACTACCCCTGATTTAGACTATCATGTATTCAAGTTCAAAACAACGAAAGCCTGGCCAAGATACAGTATGTCAATATATATCTCTATATAAGAACCTACCACCTCCCAGGTGTTGTTCAGAGGTCAAACTATTCTTAGAATTAGGCAGGATTTTGTAATTTTCACCGGCATTTGCCTTTCTGTAACTTCAGCTTATTCTCCCATGTTTCATTTTTATTTTTTTTTCTCTTCTATTCAATTGTGTCTTCATGTACTTAAAGAGAGCTATATTAAAGAGAGCTGTTGTATCACCTCACAGGGCCCATCTATGTTTACTTTCTGGGCTGCTGTCTTTGCCACTCTGTGGCAAAATAGCTTTCTCACACTGTCATAGGAGGTCTGTAAAACTGTTTGTTTCAGCTGGCTAGTGGGGGAGAACCCAAATCAAGACAGCAGATGGTCTAGTCCAGGGGTGTCAAACTCAAGACCTATGGCCCAGATCCAGCCCGTGGGTTGCGTAGATATGGCCCATGGGGCCACTCTGGAAACAGTGAAGGACTGGCCTGTGGTGCCTCTGCCAGTGCCCTTCCGAGCTCCATTTTTGGCTGTGATGACCTCCTGCAACCCTCTGCCAGTGAAAACAGAGCTCAGGAGGGCCATGTGCGGCCTTCCCGAGCTCCGTTTTCACTGGCAGAGTACTTGGGCCACCAGGCGTCCCCAACATGAGTGACATCGAGAAGCCCACCCTGGTCACAATTATCCAGCCTCCGAGGTCAAACACAAACCTGATGCAGCCTGCAATGAAATCGAGTTTGACCCCCCCCCCCCAGTCTAGTCCTACCCCAGTTCTTTTCCATGCACATTAACTTTTTGTGGCAACAAAAGTTAGAAAAGAAAAGAAATTCAGATGCTATAGGATAGGGAACAAGTGATGATACTAGCACCTTAGTTTCTAAAAAGCTATGGAAACCTTGATAAAAATGGTGTTCATGCCAATGAAAATCCATTTGCCGTTGTTCCAGAGAAAATGCTGCCTAAATGTTATATCTGAATGGAAAGCTGGATAGTTAATTCTAAAAGTTTTCAAAGTCCAAAAATGGAGAGTTGCAAAGAAAATTGTTACCTGCAGAAAGATGTTCTCTTACCTTTCCTTTAGGTTGAAATACAGTATATTCTGTTATCTCTTTCTCTCTTTTTAGGACTTAATTTCTAATCGTCTCATTGTTACTCAGCTTTTTTCAAAGAAAACTAGATGCAGAAATAGCCTAAGGCTTTTCAGAGAAGGAGAAAAACCACTCTTGGAAAAAACCACCAGCAGAATTATATATTTAGAGTTTTAAAGACTAGTTTCGTCATCATTGCTCTAGAGGCATGCAGTATTTGGACTGGAACTTGGCAAAATTTCTTCCTATTTTACATGGCACAACACCAGTGTCTGTTTTCACACTTAATTCAATGCACCTTTGCCTACTTTAGGTCCAAATACTATGACTCTCAATCCTACCATTATATTATTACCAGCAGGTTTATATCTTTAAGCGTTTTTCTTTGATTGCTAAAAAGTCTGAAATGTATGTTTGACATCCTTTTAGAAAATAAATCAGAAATATATAACCAACAAAGAGGATTTCTGTACCCTTCAAAAAATTGTCCTTCATGATTTGAGCACTGAAGTGGCGCAAATTCGACACTCTGCTACACAGGCCCTCCTCTGGCTAAAAAGGTCAGTGTTCTGTTCTGAGGGTAATTTGAGATGACTCAGTAGAAGGGACTTGCCTTTGCTCTAAAATCTGTAAATAATGTTTACTTTTTAAGAAAGCAATTGCATTTCTGTCACAATACATGCAAAACATGTAAACCCAAGTTATCATTTGTATTTAAAAACACTAAAAATATATGGACTTGTGCATCATGATCAGTCTTTGGGTGCAGATTACAGACTAGCCAGTTACTGGGAATGTTACAAGTTTAGAAAAACATTCTCCATATTACAGAGGAGAAATGGCGAGCAGCTATGAAATCTCAGCTTTCTGAGATAGTCATTTTCTAATTAAAAGCAGATTACAAATTTTCAGATCAAGTTATAAACGTAAGCCTTGATGTCCTCTCATATTTTATATCTTTATTTCTCACTGCTATATCAAAATATTCAAGAGGATGATTTGATTTGTAAAGTTTCAATGCAACTGCACTTGTGAGCAGAATTGTGAAGAAATTCTATAGGACAATGTGTTTAGCCTTACCTTATTAAATGTACGAGTTGTCAAATGGGTTTTTATTGCTATTTGATAACAACGTACATGAAACAATATATAGACAATGAATATGCATATTGGACTTGTTAGCAACTTTTCACCATAATAGTGGCCTTTATGCTTAACATTTTCAAAATCAATGCCTGCAATCTAGGAAGTGCTTTGCTCTGTTGTTGATATTCAAGATATTTTCAGAAACATAATAAAAATAAGAAAACATCTTCAGCCAACTTAATGTGATGAATTAAAACAAAAACAAAAATTGTCACTGCTCCCTAATAACTTGTCATGGTTTTCTTACATCCTGGAAATAGCTGGAAAAATGTCCTTGCTTTTACAAGAACTGATTCATGCAATTGGAATAAAAAAAAATTTCTTTAGGATTTGTTTCCAGAAAGGTGTGTTTTCATTTGTTTGAGATTATATTTGATTTTAAATATTTGTAATTTAAAAATCAGTTCTTATTTTCAGAAATAGCAGTAATAGATATATACAGAATTCGTAGATATGGATTCACAAAGCTGAGAGTTATGTTGGGCAGCTTCCCATTGTTATACAAAAAGCTTTCAAACAAAAAGCTTTCAAAACTAAATCACAGAGATGCAAAGGGCCTCGCTATTCCTGTCTTTGTCTTCCTTGGTAAAATGAATGGAATGTTTTCAGAGATGTAATATATCTTGTTTGTCATAAACAGAGGTTTAAAATTTTTGAAGGAGTTCTTGACAGAACTAAAGAACGGAGAGAAAAACATCCAAACAGCACTGAGTAAGTACAGAATATTTTGTGAAATTTTATAAATGCAAGAACTTTAGGAAAGAAAAACAAATAAATCTTTCCAGTCATTGCCTTTATTTGGATTACATATACTAAATAAAAATTAAAGCTTAAAGTGAAAAAGAAACCTATTTTTTGTGTAAGAAAAAATATGGTTAGAAAGATTTTGCATGAATAAGAAACCTGTTCCTTTTTGGCTACTTCTGATCTGAATTCAGCATCTTGCAATGATTTCCTTTCTCTTTGCAGACAAATCTTATAGCAAAACATTACGACAGTATCATGGCTGGGTTGTTCGAGGAGTTTTTGCGGTAAGTCCTCACTGCTTTCCCAAACAAAGCGTAAAGATGAAGATGATGACTGTTTTGAGATATTTGATTTTGCCCTACTGGACAAGCAGGAAATATTTCTGTTAACACATCAGTAGTCCTTTTTTCTCCTATATTGGTTCTAGTCAGGAAACTATTAACTACACCAAATATAGGTCAACCTAATTTGAGAGGTCTGATGTTGAACGCAAGATTTAATGGGAAGAACACCTAAGCCTGTGTCTTGTCCCATCCTCAGTTCTAGAGGATCCCATGGTGTTTTTTTCTTTGAGCCAGAGATGTTGCTTCTCAACCTTACCAACTTTAAGATGTGTGGACTTCAATTCCCACATACCTTAAAATTGACAAAATTGATGAATGCTGCTTTGGAGCTTGAAGCTTTGATCCAAATAATGATGTGTCAGAATAAACTGAATGGATCCATTAAAAAGAAAGAAAGCAATGTTGGAGGAAAGAGATAGCCTCAATCTTTTCTCCTTACAAAAGAATTGTTTAGCTTTGATGGGTAATAGATTGCTTTATACACACTCTTTCCTGTGTATTTAATAATTGCATCCACCTGTTACTTTAAATAGCATTTGGGTCTACTGTACATATGGCCCGGGGGCTTCAGATGGTTGATTTCTGTGTAGAGCTGATACCAGTCTTAAATACCTTAGTTATGTAGACCTAAAATAATTTATCCCTCTATTTATCATTATCATCCAATGCAAATGATGAAGTAGAAATTAGAACACACCGTGCTTGACTTTCTTTTTACCCCTTTTCCTTTCAGCTAGCTCTAAGAGCATCTCCCACCTATGCAGGCTTTGTGGCTGCATTGTCGCTTGCAGAATGTGAAAATCAAGAAGAAGCTTTTTATCATGGAATTCAGCGGGACCTTAATATTTACCTACCAGCCATGGAAAAGCAGCTCAACATCTTGGATGCATTGTATGAAGAACATGGACTAGAGTCAGATGAAGTGGTCTGACCTCAGCTCAACTTTGTTTTCAATATTCAGGGATTCTGTCCATCAGTGTACTATGTTGCTCTTTTCCTCAGAAAGCTGTATCTGTTTGTTTGTTTTTCCATACAGGGAAAGAATTCCATGCTGCTTCTTTTTTTTAATATACAGTTTTAAAAAAAAATACTTGTTTTGTGTTTAAATGCAAAGTTGCTGTATAATCTAGCTGGGTTCCGCCTATCTTTATGGCAAGATCCTTAGAATAGAGATATATTGTTTATTTAATGAATAACAGGCTAAATATGGCAGTGGTTCCAGTCTGAGGAGTTTAGTACCATTTGGTTGGACATTTAAAACTTGCTGAAGCATTTATTCCAACACAGTGATATATACCTGCAACTGTAAAACTCAGCCAATTCACATTAGAGTCTGTCTTGCAAAGGATTTATATCACAACTACATCTTTGCTCTCCCTTCTTTTGCCAAGTTCATCATTGAATTTTGAAACTATTCGCTGTATCTATTAAGGGAGCTATAGCAATGAACCAACTCTATTCTACTTAACAGGTATGATACACTCTTAATAGAATTTATTTCTTCTGACCTGGAGTTGTGGTTTCATGATAGCCCAGAAATACCAGGAAAAAAGAGGGTTAATTCTGCTCTGTGCCATAATTGGATTTAGTCCTTTCTAGTGCTAATAACCAAATGCCCTTGGATTCTAGGACTGGAAGTATATACCTAATATCATATAGTGCAAAAGTGTCTCAAACTGATATGCTCTGGATTGGGCAGAATTTTGAAAACCTTATCATTGCTATTCCTACACTATTCATATTAAAAGCCTACATTTTATGGTTGGTCTAGCACTATCAGATCTGGCTAAATTTAGAACAAAATGAGATAAATAGTCCATAATAATGGGAAACCTTTAACATTCTGTATAGTATTTTTAGAGTATTTTTTAGGTTTTAAATTATTAGGAACTATTAATTAGAAATTTCAAAGAAAACTTGAAGTTCTAGGATTAGAAAACTAAGTTGATATCTGGATATAGCTACCTGATGATCTACCTGGGTAATAAATTGCTAGTCTATAAAATTTGAAACATTCTATAATTAACTAAGCACAAATGCTGTCATTTATACATGCCTGCATTTATGTCAATAGAATGATTGTAGAAAATTGTATTTTGCCATCTTAATCAAATGCAATGATTGGATAACTCAGGAAATCCAGAAACTTTATGTATTGTTTCTCTTTTTTTAAGCATTTATATTTTGCTTTTATATTCAATATACAAACAATGAGTTTGGAATTCATTATAGAAACACTTAGCCAATGGTCTTATCATGTTATTTTGTGAGCAATTGGTACATGAAATATGTTTTTTCCATCACACATTTATATGCCCATGCTTTTTTTAGAAATAGTTTCTTTTTGAAGTCATAAGGCCATATTAAAAAAGAAAAAAGGAAGTAGATTTTTCTGTATTGAATATACATTACTGAATTTTGAGGCACTTTATAAATACTTTTGTTAATATTCTAACTTGGAGAAATTTCCTGCTCATAAATATTCCTTCAAAAATAATACTTTTGTTTCAGGAGAAAAACAAAACAAAAAATGAAATTATTTTCCAACTTTTGTAATATAGACGATTAGCAGTATTTCAAGCTGAGGCTTGGGAATATCTTTTAATTTTCTTTTCTTTTTCTCACCAAGTGAAATCCAAAGAGAAGAACTGACTGGTTACTTTGTTTACGTCACTACTTGCAACCAAACTAAGTAAGGAAATTAATAATATAACTTGGGTGGAGCTTCAAGATGGAGAAAAAGGACTAATGTCAAGTCCTTAACTTTCAGTGGCCAGAATAGGTATCTGAAAATAGGTTTCTTTATTCCCCTTCCAGCTTGTTTCCCCCAGCCCTCAGACTTTGGGGCATGAAAATAAATTAGTTTAGGGATTGTCTTACATAAGACTTTTGGGGTGGGGGGATTCATCGGATTTTCAACACACATCCAGAGTTGTCCCATATTTGCTTCTTCTGTAAGACCACCACTAATGGGAGATCTACAAATTTGGAGCAAAACTGGTTTGTAGAAATCCATCAGCATAAGTGCCATCATACCAGAGGGGGTTCTCTCTCTTCTATTAGAATGGCTTCTGGACACTTTTGAGGCTTTCTCATTTAGGACAACACCAGAGCATATTTGTGCAGAATTAATAATAATAATAATAATAATAATAATAATAATAATAATAATAATAATAATAATAATAATAATAATTAATAATAATAATAAACCTGATCAGGCAATATGTTGTCCTCTACATGCTTAATTCTTTTGTTAGCTTACCCATCATGGCAGCCTTGTTTGACAGGTTGGTAGTGATGACAGTGAATGTAATTTGAGTTGCAAGCTATGCACATGTTTACTTGTTGACTAAGGTCAGCCTGCAGTTGTAGTTTTGTATCGTGTTTTGCCGTTGTTTTGCATAATACATTTTTTCTTTTTTTTACCGTAGTCATTCTTTTACTGTCACATTCTCTTAATTAGATGATTTTCTTACTTGATGAAAGGTTGTGTAATTTATGATAGAAACCGTGTTTTTCCAGGGAATATGAAATGTTGGCATTTACTCCCACAATGATATGTATGATATGAAGTTATATTTTTTTATATTACGGTATGTTGCCATTTCTAAGACATCATGCTTTTGTCAAACCAAATTAAGCGACAGTAATGTCCAGTTGATATGTTACATAGTATATTATTTGGATTGCAATGAAAAATGCCTTTGTTACTGAAAAAAAAAACTATTCAGAATTGGAAAAAGTAAGACACAGTTTTCCACCAAATAGCAGAGGAGTTTTGTATAGAAAAATAAGTGAATTTGTAATACCTCTAAACATGGGTGTGATTTGCTTTACTTGGATGAAATGAATGTTAGCCCTGGTTGGTTTAAATCAGTTAATTCTTTGTTAATTGTGTATTCTCAGGGAAATGAGCAGCAAGGCAAAAATAGTCTGTATTTTACAGTGAAGCTTTTTTCATGTAAATACACTATACATAAGTTTCATATCTCTTATTATTATAAATTGTTTGGGACTTGGGTAACATATGAGAAAGCAATTGGGAAAGTACTTCATGAACTGCAGTTGACCTGTATGATTTGCATACTCTAAACCTCTATCAAGCAACATATAGGAAAACTGTTAGAATTTCTTCACCTCACACTCAGTAGTTGAATGTATCATACTTTGATAATTTGTAATATTCCTTTTAAAATATACTCTGAAAGCAAAATTGCCACATTCTGATCCTATTTCAGATTCAAGATAACAGTGTATCATAGATAATTTTCCTGTAAAAAAAAAAGCAAATAGAGGATCATCATAAAAAATATTACAAGTAATGCTTAGTATTCTACCATGCTACATATTTGTTTTATTTTTTTCCTTTCTTTTGTTTTATCATAATCCATGCCTTGAAAATGGACAATATTTCTTTTAGTTACTGGACTTTGAAGTGCAATCCAAAGATGATCTCTCCTCTTCATTAGAAATGACGGTACATAGAATGCAATCTCATTTACCTGAATAATAAACTTTGGATCTTATTGTCTCTAGTTTCCTGTAATCCAGTGGTGATTTTTAGCTGCTATAAAGCAGGTGGAGAACTTCTAGCTTCATTAAAGTGAAACCTGTTTTTAGGAGTATTCTGTGTGTTTAAAATTCTGGGTTATTTGTTGGAATCAATTTACATTATTTGCACATTGTTCCTGCAGTCTAACTTTTATTGCTGTAGTAGGCAATATAAAAGCTGAAAGTGGCCAGCCTCAGTCTTTACTTGGGACGTAATTGCTTTTAGAATTGAAGTCCTGTAAGTGCCACTCTACTGAACATAGATTTAATTCTGAATGAACACAAATAGGATTGTCTTGTAATATAGATTGAATTCATGTCTAAAACATAAGAATTTCCACAATTCATTCTTACTTTGATAGTACCCATTGTAGATTTGGCTCTCAAAGCATGGTATAATGGTACACGAGAAAGACCTAGGGAAATTGGACAAAGAGATACCATTAAGGGAACAATAAGGTAAGAGACACTATTGGATAGTGGACAAAGCAATGGGCGGGGGGGGAACTCTTGGTTTCTTAGGCTGTAAAGAGACACCGGGGAATATTGTACTTTAAGATCTGCAAGATAGATGTTGGCCTTGTGGGACAAACCAGATCAGGAGTTAATTCTACTTTTTGCAAGGCTACATTGAAAGAACCTTGAAAGCAATTCCTCCCTTCTCCCTCCTTTTCTTTGCAAGAAGCTTGGGAGGATCTTGAGCTTCTTGCCTCACCAAATGTGACCTTTGCCATCTTCTAATCTGACCATTCTCTTGGCCGTGTTTCTCTCCTCCATGTCCCAAAGTCTAACCATTAAACATAGATGGAAAGAGTTAGGGATTATTTTAGATTCTATTATACCAAGTTGGTGCTAACGAGCAGTTAATGGCGTAGATTGCTAGCAGCCTGGGCTCCTTTACAGTAGTTTTGCCAGTTGAGAGAAAAAGATGTTTTGAGTGGGGAAAAAAAAGATAAAGGTAGGCTGGATGAGTGAACAATATGGTCAACAATGAGCTTGTGAGATCTTGGAAAAATAGCTGTATACTGGACAGGTGCTGCTTCCAAACAACCAAACTAATCAGCAGGATAATAAAATGGACAGCCAGACTGCAAGTGTCGAGTGGCAGCAAAATCTGGCTTGACTCCAGTTTTATGGATTCTGGCTGAATTTCAACATCATAGAGTCTGGCTAGGCTCCAACTTCTCACAATCTCACAGGGATTCTTCCCTCCAAATTCGGTTGCAACCACCCAGGGGCTAATGACCCCAGTATAAGAACACCCGGGATAAGGATATAAGCTCAGAGATACTTGCAGTGTTAAAATGTGGGACTGAAAGAACTTTGGTTCACTAATACTGAATACTGTTAATAGGAATGAATATAGAAAGAATGAAGTGTTATTCCAAATAAAAAGAGTTGCACAATTATTATAGCAATTCTCCAAATTTCTAGTGGATGTACAATGAAGATGATGTGCAACAGAAAAAGAAAGCTTAAGCACGAAGTGGTCTCAATAATTGGTTCTAAATGTTCAATCAGATGAGAATGAGTTGACTTTTACCCACATTCTTAATATTTTTTATTCCATGTATTGTAATTAACTTAGATTTATATGAAAGAACTGCATTGGCTATAGCATAGGAGGAATGGATGCTTGGGTATCAGCATATTAATCATATGATGCCTCTCTGCACTGTATTCTACTAAATTGCTAGGAAAGAGATGTGCAAAATTAATTGATTAATTGATAAAATATTCCAAAGAACTGGAGAGCATTCCTTTTGTCTATAGACCAAGCTGTATTTCCTTCTGGACCATTTCATTTATGGAACCAAATGGGGGATTTCCATGCTGGAAGTAGCTGCTGGACTGAAGGGAAACTCCACTTCCCCCCACCATTTGTTCTCCACCCACCTACCCATATTCTCATCACTTTCTTTTGCATTGTTTTATTTTTCTAATATTTTACTTCTGTTTTGTTAACACTCTTTGTTTCTTCTTATTGTTTTAAGCCACCTGGGGTAGGCCCTCAGCATGATAGGTGCCAAATAAAATTATCAATAAATAAAAATAAAATTTAGGGGACAGTTTTTTCAAAAGTAAATCCTCCAGATGTGAACAAATTCAAGATTTTTTATGCATATTGTTCCAAATAATGTGGTCTGGAAGGATGTTTGCCATTGTTCAGAATAAAATATCAATTCCTTCTCCTCCTCTCTCCCCACTTTCAGATTACAGTCCATCTATTCAACTGAGAAAAAGGGAGTCTATTGTGTCATGCAGTTTAGGCTAATCACATAATGTTAAGCCTCCTAGGTAATCCAGGCCAGTAAATTAAAATCAAAGATACTAATACTGCTACCTTTATTGTAAGGTTACAGGTTTGAAAGTATGTTCCACTTCCAGTTTCATCAGCTCAGATAGGGAAGCTGCTTGGCAGGGATGCATAATTCAATAGCAGAATATTTGATTTATCCCAAGGGCCCAAAAAAGATTATAATTCATGGACTTTCTTCTGGCCACTACCTATGCAAGCATGTGCTTTTTGTGGCAACAAAATCGGAGTAAAATTGTGGTGCAATCTTCCTCCTACTGGTGATGCCTGAAGGGGCTTTTGTTTTGTTTTATTTTAATCAACATACTCATTTATTTATTTACTAAAGTTCTCGGCTGTTTAGAATTGCAATATGTCCTAATGCTATAGTTACACTAAATTGGTAAGTAGGTGTACATTTCTATGTAATTAAAATAGTCTAGATATTTTCCCACAAAGAATATTCATAAAAGTGCCACTGGGTGGCATGAATGAGCATTGCTTAGAAAATAGTTCAGTAGCAAAGAGATTTTGAGACAACAAATTATTTGTATATATATTTTCTATCCAAACTGTTTGAAAATAACATAAATTGTTTCTGTAAGGGCAGTCTTTATTGACTGAATATGCAGTCTGTCCACAAACAAAGCCAATCCATTTCCACCCCCTAAATACAGCTGATAGCAGGACAGTTATTCCTTATAATTTTCACTATGGGGCAGCCTTCACTGACCTCTAGAAACAGAAAGTGATTGATAAAAACAATCTCTGTCCTCAAATAATATTTTATCTGTATGTATCTTACTCATACATTGTTTTTTTTAAAAAAAACAAGTTTTATTAATTTTCAAAACACACAAATCATCATTATCCATTACATGTTTAAACCTTTTTCCATTATAAATTTAACAAGTCAGATAAACTATAATTCTGTTTTAAACCATTTCCATATAAACATACAAAAACCTCTTATCCAATTTCTCTTTATTTCTCTTTACTCTTATTCAATTTTATTATTATTATTTCATCTATTTCTTTCTGACTTAGTTACCATTATTCTCATTCTATATTTCTGCAAGGTTTTATTAATTCTCCACCCCCCCAAAAAAAAAAAAAACATATACACACAACACACAAAACATAAAAAAAATCTTTTTGGAAAGTAACTTGGATCCAGGTATCTCTCTCTTCATGGACTTCAATTATATTCATGCTCATCTTACATATCATTACTTATTTTATTTACCATTCTAAGTCTTCTATATTAACTTCTCCACATATTTCACTCTTCTTAATT